AAAAAAAAAAAAAAAAAAAAAAAAAAAAAAAAAAAAAAAGAAAAAAGAAAAAAGAAAAAAAGATGATAATAATAAGATAATAATTTGACTGTAATTTCAATCCATTTAGTTTCTGTGGACATGAATATCTGTGGCTTGTATTTTGAATTTGATATGCTTGATAATCACCCAGCATTTTCTTGTTGGCGCTTTATTCTAGGTCCTGATCAACACAATGTTGCAAATGCAGTATTTTGTTCATGGATGGCTGTTGGTAATATCCTAGGTTTTTCAGCAGGAGCTAGTGGAAACTGGCACAAGTAATATTTTGAGCCAGATTTGAGACTTAATGTTTCCATCCATTTACATTTGCATTTGTGCTATTTATTTGGCCATAGTTTTCTGAGATTAGTTCATATCTTGAATCTTCTTTTTTGATTTCCCTTCCTATGATTCATCTTTGGTCAGATGGTTTCCTTTCCTTTTGAGTGATGCTTGCTGTGAAGCCTGTGGAAACCTTAAAGCAGCATTTCTTATCGCTGTGGTGAGCTACTGATAAGCATATAGTTCAATATATTCCATGATACAAAATTTCGTTTACTGTGTACCTCTTTAAGATGCTCTATCATGTTTGGTTCTTATGCTCATGACTTTCATAAATAAAGATAACTGTTTCATCTTTTGGATTGTGACTAGAATTTGGTTCTCTAACTGCAGTTCTAACATCTGCATTTCATTTATGCAGGTTTTTCTAACCATATGTACTCTTGTTACCATATATTTTGCCCATGAAGTTCCACTTACTGCTGTAGATCAACTACCACGTTTATCAGATTCTGCTCCTCTGTTGAATGGGAATGAACAAAGTAGTCCTAGTACTGTAAAATCGGAACTTAACAGTCCAAATGGGAGCAATGACAACTATGGCTATCAAAAAGATGTGAATTTGGAAATTTCAAAATCAATAATTGAGGAAAATCACAGTGAAAGTTATTACGATGGTCCTGCAACAGTGGTAGTCAAATTGCTAACCAGTTTAAGGCATTTACCACCGGCCATGCATTCAGTGCTTCTTGTGATGGCTCTTAGCTGGGTATGTTCTACTGTTAATTAAAATCTTATTTCCGCTATTATATTTTCCTCTTAGCTTTGCATCTATGTATTGCCAATTTTCCAGTGGCTATGTGGATCATGTAGGCAGTTCTTGAATATTGCTTTTGGTGCTTGCATTTTGCATGCAGTTATCCTGGTTTCCCTTCTTCTTATTTGATACGGATTGGATGGGAAGGGAAGTGTACCATGGGGACCCAAAAGGAAGTTTGGCTGATGAACAGGTTTATGATCAGGGTGTCAGAGCAGGTGCATTTGGTTTGCTATTGAATTCTGTAAGAACTCAGATTTGATTACATTTATTAGTTTGAGTTTTTTCATATATTTTGCGGTATTCGAGTTTGATTAAATTATGAGTTGTCTCTATTATATTTTTAGACGTTAGTTATCATTTTTCTTCCCTCACGAAGTGTTTGTTTTGATTTATGTTCTGTGTTATAGGTTGTTCTTGGTATCAGTTCTTTCTTCATAGAGCCGATGTGTCAGCGCATGGGAGCAAGACTTGTCTGGGCAATAAGCAACTTTATTGTGTTTGCATGCATGACGGGAACTACTATTATCAGTTTAATATCTGTCAGTCAATACTCTGAAGGAATCGAACGCGTTATCGGAGGAAACTCAACAATAAAAAATGCTGCCTTGGCTGTTTTTGTTCTTCTTGGTTTTCCTCTTGCTGTAAATGTCAAACTTTATCTTTTCAATTTATTCTCTTTATATCACATCCTTGAAGTTAAAAGACCATTGTTTCTGTTGCAGATAACTTATAGCGTTCCCTTCTCTTTGACAGCAGAATTGACCGCTGATTCTGGTGGTGGCCAAGGTTTGGATGGAGTTCATGTAGTATTGTTTTTCTTGGTGTTTATAGACTATCTGGATTCTGACACTTGAGAGACTGATTTTTACAGGATTGGCTATTGGAGTTCTCAATCTTGCAGTTGTTATTCCCCAGGTATGGGTGACGAGCATATTATATCTACTTTTAGAAAACCAAAATTATTTTTAGGTTTGATGTTTAACCTAAGTGAGAATATTTGCTAAAACCACCCCACCTAAATAGTGGTGCAAATTTCTATTTATAAGAGAAATAAATGGATACAAAGATATTTGCCTATAATAAAAGGTCAAATATAATACCTAGCAAATATCTTATGATATCTATTGTGTAATGGAAGGCTAAATAACAAGTGCTTACGGGAGGATGGAAAGTGTGAGAATCCCACATTGGTTGGAGGAGAACGGAACACCCTTTATAAGGGTGTATAAACCTTTCTCTAGTAGACGCGTTTTAAAGCCTTTAGGGGAAGCTCGAAAGGGAAAGCCCAAAGAGAACAATATCTGCTAGCAGTGGACTTAGGTCGTTACATGAGGGCTTTTAATCAATGAGTGCTATTTCTATTTTTTTCATACATCAAGAGAACCATTCTGGATTGATACTTCAATTTTGTTCTTTTTATTCCTTACTCTTTAGTTGGTTCTTTTCTGTAGCTTCGGATTTATCATGATTCTAAGTGAACTGTTCCAAATTGTTTTTCAACGTTGATCTAGTCTTCCTCCACCTTCCTTTCATCCCCTTTTGCGTTTACAATTCATAGTTGGAAAGAACACCTAACGTGGTAACATATACATTATGTATGATTTGTTCAGATGATTGTATCACTGGGTGCTGGGCCATGGGATGCATTATTCAGTGGAGGAAACATTCCTGCATTTGCTTTGGCTTCTGTTTGTGCGCTTGCGGCTGGAGTTGTTGCGCTTCTTAGATTGCCTGATCACACCAACAGTTCTTTCAAATCCACAGGTTTTCATTTTGGTTGAAGAAGAGTGCATCAAACTTCTAAAACAAGCTAGAACATACATGCACATGCTCCCTGCCAATCAACGCTTTTACAAGGTTGGATTTCCATTGCCGTTACAGTTCCCTATGACCTTTATTTAAACTATATGCATTCAATATTCATATTCATTGATTTTTTCTGGGTATCTGTACCGTAGGTAGTGTAAATTTTCACTTACCAAGATGAGTAAAGTGGAGATATAACGATGATAAAAGTCTCGCTTGCACGTTTATGTTATTCGGCCTCGTAGAAACACAACGGTCATAATACGTTATAGTGGCTAGATTAATGAAATTAATGAAGAGTTTCTTTCCTCGTATTTATTCTCCTTCTCCATCCTAACCTTTTGCTTTCATGTTCCTTAAAATCTAGGGTACAAAAAAAAAAAAAAAAAAAAAAAAAAAAAAAAAAAAAAAAAA